AAAAATTAATTTGGTTTTCTCTCAAGTTAACTTTGTTTTTTTTTTTTTTTTTTGTAAACGCTTGGCTGTTTGTAGAAGCAACAGAAACCCAAATGGGAGTACAAAAATGTGTAATGTGTGAATTCATATTCACATTCTAAACAACCACAAATATTCCTAGCAAATATCTGCAAAGACGGCAACAAAAGAGGCCGGTGTGTATGTGTGTGTTCTGAAGAAGTTCAGAGTAATAAAGTGACTCACAGCTTTGCTTAGTGTCTATTTTGGTGTGTTTTACAGAGCCTAGTGGATCAGGAGTGATTCATGTTTGACCCCTTTTTTGAAAAGCAGGGATGTTGTTTGAGCTGCTGGTAGTGTAGACACAGAGGACCTTTCGCCGTTACCTGGAGCTGAGCCTATTTTGTCTCATCCGCTGCTCCTGCAGCAGGCGGGTGTTCTCCAGCTTGACCGGGCTGGGAATGAAGCCCACCTCACAGCCCTCCTTCACCAGGCGTCCGATCCACCAGTCGTTGTTGTATTTCTGCACATACGGCAAACAGTGAGATATCAGCACACAATGATGGATAAAGTCAAAATTTAAAAGTGGCCTATTATACTTCCATGAACAGGTTAGAATATCTATGGCCTAAGCAAAACATGTTCCTTACATTTTTAGCACAAAATCATTCTTAGATAATAAGATTCTAGTCTGCTCACTTTTCCTACTTTGAGTCGTTTTAGGGTCTCTGTCACTTTAAATCCAAATAAGCTGCTGCTAGCCACGTCCCCCCAACTCGATGTTTACACTCCTACGTAGTCCTGTCACAATAACAAATTTTGCTAGGCGATAAATTGTCCCAAATTGTATATTGTTATTGCGATAAGCGGCAATATTGTTGTTTTAACTAATATAATTGTAATGGCATAATAATGCATTCTCAGAGATCAATAAACTTTAAATTCTAATGAACATTTAACACTGGAATTGGTAGACGTTTTAAATATCCAAAATACATAAACAGAACAACAGAAACAACAAATAAAATGAATTATGAAGTCTGTGTAAACAAAATTGTCCTTCAAAAAACCACCAGATTGAAGTCTTTTATCATCCACGTTTTGGTAGAAAGAGACAAAAAAGATAAAACCAATAAATCATGCAAATGAAAATTATTGAGCTTGTTTTAATTCATCATGCAATTTATTGCTTATTGTGACAGCCCTACTCCTACGTAAAAATGGCTGCAAACAAATGAGCAGTTGTTATTCACCTTGAAAAGCAGAAGTGGAGCCTCCTGCACAGCCAAAAAGAATGCAGCAAGTGATTTCTGAATGGCAAGTCAACAACAAAATACTTGTCTTTTTCAGCGCATACGGTGATAAAAACAGCTGGTCTTTGTTTTTGCTTTATTTTGCTGTCAGTTAATGTGATCTTCAAGGTTTCTGACAACCTTCCAAAGCTGTCCTGTGAACTTTAGTTGCCTTTTAGAGCATCTAAAATCCAGTATCTTTACTTTCACATTTGTGAAGCATGTGATTAAATAAAAAATATGAGAAATCTTAGTTATTATATGATTGAGAATAACCATATAGGTCCTCAAATACTTTATTATCTTTGTAAAATTGTTGAGGTTTTTTTTATTTAAATAAATAAATGGAAAGAAAAATAATTTTATAAAGTGTTATGCGTGGACTAAATGCTAAATTTAGGAGTCCTTTTTACTGCCTAGATGATTATTAGGTCAGAGTTAAGTGGCTTAATAAATGTGAAAAAGCAACTTGTGTAAAGAAAACTTCAAAAGCCCTTCAGAAAGCAATTAAGAGCTATTCATTAAGACCACTTTAAAGTTTGAAAGTTTGGTTCCCTGGGTGGAAAATATGAAGAAAATATGACTCATTGGTAACTTGAGACTTATAAGCAGCACTGTGCACCATATAAACATGAAATATGGGAATTTTGTGTATTTTTATTTTATTTATTTTTTTGCTCTGGACCTATTTCTTACTGCAATGCAGGCTGTGTTGCTACCAACACCCACTCATGGCCTGCCATGGTTTCAATGGAGCGTGGCTGTGCAGTGCGATGCAGCAAACAGAAAACCTCATTGGCTTTCCACCCACCATCACTGCAAGTTGCTTTTGTGACAGAGGAGCCTGAAGCCTTTTTATGTGTCATCCAGGCTGCTCTGACACGGCGGTTTACCTTTATATTACATTTGAGGACTCGGGTACAAAGACCACAGTTTTATGACACTTTGCAAAGAAGTTATAACCTTGTGTTCTCTAGTGAATTGAGACTATAGATGATGTCCACACCTCTTTAATGTGCAAGAAGTCTTTGGCTTCGAAGGAAATGGCCATGCCCTGCACAGGAACATCATCGTTAGGCCCTGGGTTGTAACCAACGTTGGTGCGCACAGCAAATGCCACTGGTTTGGTCTGGAATAACAACAGCAGGAGCAGATATAAGACAAGCATGCTAGGAGTTGTCCAGATTTCAAGGCACACAGGTCAACCAGGGCCAAAACATCATCCTACTGATGACTGACCTTTGCCTTCTCAAGCGTGGCAAGAGCCTGTCTGTCGGCCTCCTTCCTCAGAGCCTCGGGGTCCTCCTCCAGGGACACGTCTGAGTCCGACGGCCGGCTGGTGTAGGAGTCTGCAGAGCCCTGAAAGTCACAGTTAATTAAAAAATAGGTGAGAAAAACATATTTAGCAAGAAGACAATAACTGGGAATCACACCTTGTTAGCAAGAAAAAACAGACTAAGATAACATGCATGCTTCTTTACCTTCTATTTTCACTTGTGATGTGCTTTGAACTTATTGCTTCAACATGTAATGGTGCTCCTGGTTAACATCCTTTCATCATATTAGCATAATTTCACATCCAAAAATGACAAACCCACCCTTTAAATTAAAAATATTCAATGAGTGGGATAAAATATATTTATTAACAACATCAAGATATAACTTATATCTTGTTCCTGTTGTTCAACAAGAGCAAGAGATGAATTTGTTAAAGCACTACACCAACAATATGTTTAGCAGAAGCTAATGCTAAAGCGCTAATTTTAGCTCAAATTATATCTGCCCTTAAAAGATATTCATATGCTCTGTAATTTATATCTTGCTCTCTACTATCTGTGTTTAATTTATTCCTGTTTAGTTATTGTTTAAAGAAAAGTTAAGACAGAGAAAACAAGGAGAGGAAGTGACATAAACAGTCTTCAACCACTTCAAAATAAGAGCATGAATATAAACGGCTACTTGATGAATTCTTAACGGTTGATAACCAAAACTTCAACACAGATGTCAAACTATGTTAAACTAACAGTCTACAAAACAGCCATGTAAATTTTAGTGTTTTAGAATTAGAAAAATTAATATAGGGAAAGCTAATCAAAATTAGCAAATGTGCTAAATGGAAAAAAAAAATAGCTTTACTACTGGCGGATTAGCAGAGTTGTACCCATCACTGGGTACCTCTAACTGTGCCACTAGTGATTTTCTGAAAACAATTATTATGATTACTATGATCTGAAAACAGTTGCTATGGTATTAAAATATTACCATTTTTTTCCTCCAATAAATTAAACCTTAACAAAATATTCAATTTTTCACACAAGTTTAGTGTGAAACGTTGCTGCTGCTTTAAAAGATTTCAAGGTTTTTTTTACCAAAAGTGCCATTAAATCCAGGAAGCAATGAAAACCTTCTTGTCCTGAGCAGTACAGCCGGCCTCAGGTAAACACACACAACACAAAGGACTCCTTCATATTGCTTGTAAGATGACTCTAAACAATCAGAGGTGGAAATGATGCATAACAAGTGAGTGACACAAGGTCTCAGACCTTCCTCCAAACGCACGAGGGATTCAGTGTGTGGGTGCCTCAAGTACGGACAATACACGGGCTGGGAACTCTTTATAATATCAGCTAGGATATAAAATTCTCATGAAGTGGCTAAAGTTTCCATCACATCTACCACTCATGGGCTGTAACTTGACTCTCCCCTGCTGACCCTGATCCAGACAAGCATGCCAGGATAAAAAGCTGCCTGGCCCCAATGCACTCCTCAGCTTATGAAGAGTTTGAGTGTTCAATTTATATAACCGTCCCACTTTTTTTTTTCTCTTTTTGTGTATTTTTTTTAGCTGACAGGCTGCTTGCTGCTTTGTAGGAGGTAGTGACAAGAATGCGGGACAGCTGAATGTACCAGGCAGAAGAAGTGACTCACTAGGTGTACGCTTTTTAAAATAGTTCTGAGAATGCACATGGATGACATGCGCCATATGCAATGTCGATTAAAAAAAAATAAAAAATCCTGCCCAAGTCTAGTCACACATCACACCCGTCAGGTCCAGCAAATGGCTGTCGGCAGATATTCTTCTGGAGTTTGATTCAGAACAAATCCAATCTGTTTTTTGTTATTTGAAATTATTACAAAATAACATTTGTCTTGAAATGAAAATCAGATTTTTTTTTGCATGCATCAGAATGTGATCAGGAGGTGCTTATGGGCAGTTTCACTTTTCCACATTTTATTAAATGACAAATTCCAAAATGGATTAAGGGTCCCCAATAAAACTGAATAACTGAGTAAGAAAGGACTTATTTATAAAGAATGAAGTTTTGTTTGTGGATTCATATACAAAGTTAACCAATCATGTCTCCACTGTAGTGGTTGAATGTAGCGACAGCTTGCTTTGAATTAACAGAAATACACCTTGAATGTTTTCATATCAAGAGAAACAAAATTCTCAGGTCCAGATTAGAATAATATGCCTTTCTTTAACTTGAACTCTGGAGAAAAATAAATAAATACATTCTAGAAAAGTGGAGCTTATTGTGGATATCTGTTACGTATGGAAGGGTTCACACTCACACTGCAGCCCGAAGTGCCTCAATTCCGATGTTTTTTTTCTTTTTTTGCCTTAGTGAAACCTGAATCTGATCTTTTTATGAGAGTCTGAACTACACAGGTCGTAGTTTTTTCGAATGTGACCCAGGCCAGTTGGATATCCGATGCGTATCCGACCTTTTCAAATGTGACATGAATCGTAACGACTAGGTCCGGAGCGTCATTGATACTCGATAAACGTCACTATTCTGCGTCCTGACACGCGCAAGCGGGAAGAAAAACAACAATCATGGCGGACAATGGGCTCTTTGCACCTAAGGCGTTGACGTCACATCTCCAGGAGCTAATGCAGCTCACTTTTTT